CCTTTTCGTTGCGGACATGCACATAGAGTTCGAAACGCAGCAGCAACAACCTAAGCAGAGAGTGGACGCGCAGGCTTTACGCGACTTGGAAACACAACGCAGATTTTCGAACGGATTTGTAAACGCAATGCTACCGCGGGAAGCCGCCAACAACTTGGACACCGCAGCAGCCGATCTACAACGTGCCTTTGCTGAAGCAGCAGCTGTCTTGCCGGTTTCGCGATCTGCAGCGAAACGCCCATGGACGAGCCAGGGTACACTCGACTTGATTGCTGAACGCGGCGCTTACCGGCGAGCTGGGGATCACGATGATGAGAAACGATTTCACATCTTGATCAGAAAATCTGGAAAGAAAGACCGAGCATTATGGTTACACGATCTTACTAAGAGTGGGAATTGGGATGCTGTTCGACACTTGCGGAAACCAAAGAAAACACAACATGCTACTATACAACGCCCTGATGGCACTCCAGCCGGCACGGAAGAACGAGCTGACGTGATAGCGGAATATTTTGAGAACGAGCACTGGGAGTACAAATTGCGGGACACATGCCCAGATCTCGATACACCTTTGGGTGCCGCACTTCCTGTGGACACTTCTCCTTTTACCACAAGTGAGTTGAAGGCAGTACTGCAAAAACTCAAGAAAGGGAAGGCCGCGGGCCCAGACGAGATCCCGCCAGATTTCTGGAAAATCTTGGGGTCAGATTCTACTGCGTGCGACATTTTGTTGGACATGTGTCAGAAGTGCTGGGAACACAAATCGATTCCAGAAGTATGGAGACGCTCGCATGTGGTTATACTTTTCAAAAAAGGGAAGTGTGGCCTTACCAGCAAACTACAGGCCTGTCTCATTATTACCAGTCGGATATAAAATATCAGCAGCACTTCTTCACCAGCGCCTGGTTCAGGGCGGAGCAAAGCATCGCTTACGACAATCGCAGTATGGGTTCAGACCAGGGAAAGGAACCAAAGACGCGCTAATGTCAGTGAGGCGTATGGTCGACGCTGCGCACTTGGACAACGACGGGGGGCTTTCTCTACTCATGTTTGACTGGGCCAAAGCATTTGATAGGATCAAGCCGACTGCATGTGTGGCGCGCTTCTCCGTTTCGGGGTTCCTTCCTCCATGGTTCAGCTTATAAGGTCAATATACGCGGCAAGATATTTTACTATTCTGGACCACGCTGGCACGTCATCTGAAAGAAAACAACATGCAGGCATTGCGCAAGGATGCCCTCTGTCGCCCTACTTATTTATCATCGTTCAAAGTGTGATGCTGGACGACGTATTTCGCATTGTTGACCTCCAAGCAGAACCGGCATTTGTAGTGACGCGTGATATCCTTTACGCTGATGACACGCTGCTTCTTTCACGACACGTCGCAAACTTGAATGGCCTTTTGGCGGCAATTGTTGCTGAAGGAGAAAAGTACGGGCTGGAATTGAATTGGGAGAAAACAACGCCAATGAATATTTCAACAAACAGCAGAATTTCCAGGCCTACCGGCAAGCCGATCAAAACTGTCCGCGAAGCCATCTACCTCGGGGGGCTGATCACGTGCGACGGGAAGGCGACGACGGAGGTGACCAGGCGATTGGGGGAAGCGACGAAGACTTTCAAGCAATTGGACCGGATATGGACCCACGCGTCAATTGGAAAAAAGCGGAAATACATAATATATTCCAGCTGCGTACTCAGCAAGCTCATGTATTCTTTGGATTCTGTATGGTTGCTTAAAGCAGACAGGTCCAGATTGGACAGCTTCCATTGCAAATGCTTGCGACGCCTACTTGGTATTCCCCACTCGTTTATTTCTCGCGTTCGCAACAATCAAGTATTGCAGCGGGCGTCGTCGACACCATTACCTGAGTCTCTGAAGGAACGCCAAATAGCTCTGTACAATAGAATCGCCAGGTCCCCGGACCCTTCCCTGATCAAAGAAATACTGTGCGATGCGGATGGCATTCCCAAAAATTGGGCACGCCGCCGGAAACGAGGGCGCCCGCGACAGCAGTGGGCGACTTCAGTGCACGATTTGTCTCGTGAGTAACTCCAATCCGCACGCTTTTCGCCCCCCCCCTCCCCCCTCTCTCCTTCCTCCCCCTCCTGCTCCCCTCTCGTTTCCTGCGTCAGTCGTGAGACGCTCCATTTTTTCTGCGTCACAGTCGAGCCTCTGTGTTCACGCAATCCATCTGCAAGATGTCCCTTGCATTGTCACGAAGAGCTGCCAATTGTGCACTCTTCTGCCCACGCGTCCTTCCGGATGCTCGGCTCAGCCATGAGCCATGTCCTGAAGCCAGTGTCCTGCGAGTCTCCCGAATTCCGTCTGCAGACATATGTAACCCTCGCTCCGTCATCGCCCCCCTTATAAAGTGTCCTAAACTATTTGCGCCCCGCGTTTGCGCAGGGGTTGGGTACGTCGCCAGGGTAATTTTTCGTTCCCGGGCGTTGGCACGGGACGAGTTGAATGATACACTTGCGTTGCAATCGATTGCAATCCATTGGATTGCAAACGATTCGATTGCAATCCATTGGATTGCAATCGATTGGATTGCAATCGGTTGAATTGCAATCGATTCAATCGATTGGATTGCAGGGGAGGGACAGGACGGAAGGGAGGGAGGGGAGGAGAGGGAGGGGAGGGAGGAGATGGAACGAAGGGTGGGGAGGGAGGGGAGGGAGCGGAGGGAGGTGGGGAGGGGGATTGCAGTGGAATGGAGTGCAATCGATTGCAAGCGATTCGATTGGGATTTTCGATCGTCGATCGTTGATCGTCGATCGTCCATCCTCGATCGTGGGTTGTTCATTTTGGATCGTCGGCGAAAGGGAGGGCGGAGGCTCCGGGGGCTGGGCGGCCAAAGGGGGGAAGGGGGGGGTTTCCAAGCCCCCCCCCCCCTTTGGCACAAAGGGGGGGGGGGGGGGAGCTTCCAGCAGGGCGGCTCCAAGGGAGGGGGGGGGTAGCTTAAGCACCCCCCTCCCTTTGGAAAGGGGGGTAGGGGGGGGGGTAGCTTCAGGGGCGGCTAAAGGGTGGGTGGGTGGGTAGCTTCCAAGCACCCCCCCCCCTTTGCACGAAAGGGGGGGAGGGGGGGTAGCTTCCAGCAGGGCGGCGCCAAGGGAGGGGGGGGTAGCTTAAGCACCCCCCCCCCCCCTTTGGAAAGGGGGGGAGGGGGGGGGGTAGCTTCCGGGAGGGTTCAAGGGGGGATGGGGGGGTAGCTGTAAGCCCCCCCCCCCCTTGCAAAAAAAAGGCGGGGAGGGGGGGGGGCTTCCAACAAGGGCGGCTCAAGGGAGGGGGGTAGCTTAAGCCTAGCCCCCCCTCCCCTTTGCTCGGGCCCTGTGGGCGCGCTCTCTCATATGTATCAGCAGCATCGGCATCATCATCATCATCATCATCATCATCATCATCATCATCATCATCATCATCATCATCATCATCATCAGCATCATCATCATCGTCATCGTCATCATCATCATCATCATCATCATCATCATCATCATCATCATCATCATCATCATCATTAGTAAAATCATCATCATCATCATCATCATCATCATCATCATCATCATCATCATCATCATCATCATCATCATCATTATCATCACCGTCGTCGTCGTAATCAGCATCGACATCATCATTAGCGTTATCATGATCATGATCACTATCAGATTCATCCCCACCCTCAACCACTCATCATTTATATCAAATTATCTTTCTTAGGCATCCCCCGTGTTTCGGCGTGACATTTCCGGAGCCAACGGTTTCCAATACGGGCCAAGAGGGCCCCAAGAGACCCCCGAGACGGTCCAAGAGGGCCCGAGTCGGACCCAGAACACTGCAAGATGCCCAAACTGGCTAAAGACTGCCCTGGAGGCCCCCTAAGACGCTCTAAGAGGGCTGCAAAGAGGCTCTCAACACCAATTGAATGTACCCATTGGCTTTGTCGCCCCGCGGAGTTCCGACACCAAGACGGCCCAAGAGGCCCCGAAAGTCGGTCCAAGACGGACCAAGAGGCTCCTTGGATGGCCCCAAGACGGCCGAAGAGGGCCCCAAGACGGTCCAAGAAGCCACCCAAACATCCCAAAACGGCCCCAAGATGGGCCCCAGAGGGGAAACGCGAACCGACATTTCAAGCCCGAAGCCCCAAAAAGCCACCCAGAGGCTTCAAAAAATATCAAAACCGCCTCCAGGAGGCTTCTGTGAAGCCCCCCCCAAGGGATCCCCACAAGCATCCAGGAGGTCCCTAACCTAAGACCAAGGCACGGTGCTGGGATGGGCCAAAGGCCACTAGAAAGTAAAAAACATCCTGTGCAGCAGCATCATCACCATCATCACCATCAACATCACCATCATCACCATCAACACCATCACCAGCATCATCACCACCACCACTATTATCCTCCTCCGCCTCCTCCTCATCGTCATCATCATCAGCATCACCATCACCATCATCATTATCATCATCAGCATCATCATCATTATCCCCATCAGCATCGTCATCATCATCACCATCACCACCACCAACAACTTCATTATCACCAGCAGCAGCAACAACATCATCATCATCATCATCATCGCCCTGCTCTCTCTCTCTCTCTCCCTCTCTCTCTCCAAACATAATCCCCGGATTGCGGATAAATACTGGACATCCGCGCTGTCGGTGTTCAGGAATTGTGCCATGTATTGTGCCCCTGTCTACCCCCCCTCCCCCAGTTATGCCCGTCCACCCCTCGCCCCCCGCTGCCCGTCCCCTTTGGGTCCCTCTTGTGAATACCTGCCAACCGAGACCGCTGGTCTGGGGCTCGGGCGTCAGGATGCGCGATTGGGGGCATCACCGTGAATTCGCTAGAAAACTCACTCATAACATAAGTACACGTCTACATACAGAACAGGCTACTGCATGCATGGCCAGTGTGCCAGAACATGGTCGACGACGCGGCCCCCCCTCGTCAACCTTTCCCTCCTTTGTGTATTCTCCCTCCCCCTCACAACAAATGCGCACCTCCACCGACGAGCCGAAGGTGTCGGGCTGGCGCTTCACGACAGTTCCTGTGAGAGGGCAGCAGAGCCGCGCATTAGTGTTGGTGCAGGCCAGGAGAGCGAAGTTACAAAGCCGAGAGAGTCTCAAACTGCCAAGGTGCTGTTAATTAAATTCCTATATTCCCCCGTCGTCCTCATCGTCGTCATCATCGCGATCATCGTCGAGAATCACCATTGTCACCATCATCGCCACCGTCACCTTCATCATCATGCTCTTTGCCACCACTACAACCACATCGCCACCACCACCACCACCACCACCACCACCAACAACAACAACAACAACCATCACCATCATCAGGATCACCGTCATCACCACCACCACCACAATTAATTATCATCATCACCACCACCATCCTCATCATCACCATCATCATTATCGCAACCCCTTCACCATCATCATCACCATCATCATCAGCAGCATCATCGTTAGTATCATCATCATCACCATCATCAGCAGCAGCAGCAGCATCGACATCATAATCAGCATCATCGTCAGCATCATCATCAACATCAGCATCAGCATCATCATAATCATCATCAGCATCATCATCAGCATCAGCATCATCATCATAGTAATCAGAATCACCATAATCGTCGTCGTCGTCATCAGCAGCCTTCCTCCACTCCCCCTCCTCCTCCTCCTCTTCCTCCTCCTCCTCCTCCTCCTCCTCCTCGTCCTCGTCTTCCTCCTCCTCCTCCTCCTCCTCCTCATCTCCACCTCCTTTCGTCCCCCTCTTCCTCCACCACCCTCGCCGCCTCCGCCCGATTCTCCCCCGCCTGTCCCTCCTGAAAGCACGACGAGCGCATGGCTGTGCCCGTGTCGCTGTGGCATCCGTCCCCCTTCTGCCCCAGACAACAACTGTAGATTGGAGCCTCCCTCTCTCCCAGGTCACCAAACTTCGCGTTCTCATCCCGCGGCCGCTGAAACAGGTCGCCTAACTTCGCGCATCGCGCCCCACGATGCGCAACGCGCGGTAGTCTTCGCGTCCTCGAGCCTCCGCGCCGCCATTTTGTAAGACAGCTAACTGCTGTGACCCAGACCGCGACGCGCGAAGCGCTGCTATCTTCGCGCCCCTGGGGATGACCTGGTTCTCTCATCCCGCGGCCGCTGACATTGCAAGCAGCGTGCGGCACGCCTGGCGGCAGGGGTGGGAGCGACGGGTCGAACTGGCTGATGCCGATGATGTGGCCGTGGGCCAGGTCGTTCAGCCAGCCTGGCACGCTCAGGCCCTTCGCCACCCGCGCCGTCTTCCTCAGGTTGTCGGCTGCCTCTCTGGCGCCCGATCAAGGCCAAGCTGACGTGCCCAAATACATCCAAGAAGAAAGACTTCAACAATGGATCAAACCACTCTGCATCCTCAGTTTTCTACCCCCAGGCTGGGCAGCCACACGTGAACCCCCACCCCTTAAGACGAAGTCAGGCCGAGAATAAGATCGGGTGAGGATAAATCGAGAATCTCTGAGATCCGGCGGCTCTGGAGGATGTATCGGGCGCCGGAGCCTTCCAGAACGCACTGACAGCGTTCCGGAACGCTCTGGAACGGATCGATCCTCGTCCTAGCCCCGTCCGACCCCTTCCTGTCCGAGTCCTCGAGGGCCTGAGGACACGCGTGGGCGTTCATGACCTTCTAGCGGGCACGAGCGAAGCGAACCACCACCAGTGAACCCCACCGGTCCAGACTGATGGGCAGCGGGAGCGGGGGGTCAGACTTCATCGCTGATGGGCCTGGCAGCGCCTTCAGTTGGAATGCACACGATTCTCAGGGAGCCGCAAAAGGACGTTCGCGCCGAAATACGTTCATGAATGATTGCCCCGCGAGCGGGCCATGCAACGCAAGGGAAATGCAATGCATGCTCCCTGGTGCGTTTCCCTTGAAAACCTGAAAACTTACGTTCGTAGACGTCCTCTGTCCGCTCAAAAAAAGCTTCCTTACACACCTGTTTTCCTGGCAACGCCAAATGCGGTCAGGAAACTGCGCACCAGCTAGACTAGGGGAACGAATAATGATGTAAACAGACTTACCCTGCGACGTTCCCAACCCGGTTGCATGAAGTGACAAGAGGAGTTGACCCAAACTTGCCAGGACAAGGACCATGCAGGCACCGATATATGTTGTGCAAGCTACATGGGGTGCGCTCACGTGGAACGGTTCAGGGGACAACAACAGAAGGACGAGGAGAGAGGGCCCAGGCTTGAGGAGGACATTCGGGCGGGAACGAAGGGCAGGACAAGGGCGCGCGGGGGGCCGAACAGTCAGCGCGGCAGCAGCAGAGAGAAGCTGGCAGGGGGCAGAGGACGGCGACGCAAGTGGCGGGAGGAGACCGAAGAGTGCTGCATTTGTCGGCAGTACGCTCAAAAAAATCAGCGCTGCCTGCGCCATGACGCTGCGGCGCTCGACAAAATGATTAAAACGGATGGCTCATCGGTAGTTCAAGAAGCGAGCGAGGCGTAGCTCACCCGCCAGCTTCCCTGAGTGCGGGAGCTAAACACTCGAAGGCGCGCCGCCAGGTCTGCGGGCGGCCCGCGATGGTGCCCCGCTGGACCCCCAGCAGCCTTCGAAACTGGCGATAGTTTTGCAGATCGCAGCACCCCAGGGATGGCGAGGTTTAATTTGAGTTTGGGTGGAGCCTCGCTCCGCTGAACCCCCGAGCAGCCCTCGAAAGTGGCGACAATTTCACAGATCGCAGACCCCCAGGGATGGCGAGTCTAATCTGAATCTGGGTGGTGCTTCACTCCGCTGAACCCCCAGCAGCCCTCGAAATTGTCGACAGTTTCGCAGACCGCAGCACCCAAGGGATGGCGATGTCTAATCTGAGTCTGCGGCGAGTACCCACTATGCCGGCCCCCCAGCAGCCCTCGAAAGTGACGACAATTTCACAGATCGCCGACCCCCAGGGATGGCGAGGTCTGATCTGAATCTGCGGAGAGTACCCACTATGCTGGCCCCCCAGCAGCCCTCGAAAGTGGCGACAATTTCACAGATCGCAGACCCCCAGGGATGGCGAGGTCTAATCTGAATCTGCGGCGAGTACCCACTATGCTGGCCCCCCAGCAGACCTCGAAAGTGGCGACAGTTTCACAGATCACAGCCCCCCAGGATGGCGGGGTCTAATCTGAGTCTGCGGCGGATACCCACTATGCTGCTCCCCCCAGCAGCCCTCGAAAATGGCGGCAGTTTCGCAGATCGCAGCCCCCCAGGGATGGCGAGGGCAAGCCAGGTAAAAGGCAGGAGGAAAGAGAGAGGAGGAATGAAGAAGGAAGCAAGAGAGGAGGAGGGACGAGAGGAGGAGGGGGGCAGGAGAGAGATCGCGACCGCAGCAGGAGGGTTGGGAAAAACTCGGAGGTCTGCGCGGATTTCTCGGATCCCCGATGGACCCCCCTGGCGGCGCCTCCGGCGCCGCCCCTGGCGCGCTCCGTGCGCCAAGGAGGGGGGTCCAGCACCGATCCGAGAAATCCGCGCAGACCTCCGAGTTGATTATATTTATGTCATCCTTCGTCCCCCTATCGAACTACTAGCCGGACTCGGAATCCAACCGTCTTCCACGTCAGGGGATTTAGCCTTGTAGAATGCGCTGGACTGTGGACTCCGGGGTGCCTCGGGGCGCCCCGGCTAGAGCTTGGCGGACGGTGAGCCACCTCCGCTGAGAACGAGCGCAGGGTGGCCGGGGACATCTCCCGACCCCCTTCCAGGGGGGGCGGCAGCGGGAGCGGGCGATCTGGGGAGGGGAGTGAGGAGTGAGGAGGGAGCAGCACGAGGAGAAGGAGGAGGAGGAGGAGGAGGGGGAGGAGGAGGAGCAGCAGGAGGGGGAGCAGGAGCAGCAGGAGCAGGCGCAGCAGGAGGAGGAGGAGGAGAACGAGGAGAACGACGACAGCGATGGCTTTTCGTTCACATCCACGATGACAGTCCTGGGTCAGGCTGGGCGTCAGGGAGGTCACGAACATGCCAATCAGTTCGAAGGGGAACCCGAAGAAGAAATCGGAGGAGGAGGAGGAGGTTTCTGGGCTCTGGCTGTGGAGGGAGGGGGGGGCACGCGCAAGTGGTACCCACTCCTCGTGAAAACCAAGGGAGCGAAAGAGAACGACAGGACGGGACCGCGATGGGACAAAACCCAAAAACGCGAACCGACTAGGACCGGCCAGGTTTTGGAGGAGAATGACAGACAGGCAGACTGACAAAAACTAGCCTGGCGAAAAACACATTCTCAAAAAGGGGCAACGATTAAAAGGGCCACTCAGTACACAAGATTACGTTGAGGGGCCTGCGGTTTCATTCACGCACGCACTCTCACGACGCCATGCGAACGCACCCACTGTGGTTATAGGTTGAACTCCCTGGGGGCGAGAGGGGTGTGCCGAAATGGGGCGGAGACGCCATGCGAACGCACCCGCTGTGGCCATAGGTGGAGCTGTCTGGAGGGCAGGAAACGTGTGAGGGCTGTGCCGAAACGGGCGCGGGGACGCCATGCGAACGTACGCACTTGTGCCATGGGTGGAGCCCCCTGGGGAGCAGGAAACACGCGACGAGTGTGCCGACATGGGTGCGGGAACGCCATGCGAACACACCCATTGGGGTCATAGGAGGAACTCCCACGGCGGCCACGAAACGCGTGAGGGGTGCGCCGAAATGGGCGTGGGGACGCCATGCAAACGCACCCGCTGGGGCCGTAGGTGGAGCCGTGTGGGGGACAGGAAGCTCGCGACGCGTGCCGAAATGGGCGCGGGGATGCCATGCGAACACACCCGCTGGGGCCCAAGGTGGAGCTGTCTGGAGGGCAGGAAACGTGCGAGGGGTGTGCCGAAATGTGCGCGGGGACCCCGTACGAACGCACCCTCTGGAGCCATAGGTGGAGCTCCCTGGGGGGCATGAAACATGTGATGAGTGTGCCGAAATGCGCGCGGGGACGCCATGCGGGCCATAGATGGCCATAGATGGAGCTCCCTGTGGGGCACGATCCTCGCAAGGGGTGTGCCGAAATGGGCTCGGGGACGCCATGCAAACGCAACCACTGGGGCCGTAGGTGCAGCCCCCTGGAGGGCACAATCCTCGTGAGTGGTATGCCGAACTGGGCGCAAGGACGCCATGCGAACACACACACCCTGGGGCCGTAGGTGCAGTTTTTATGAGGGACGATTCTTGAGAAGGGTGTGCCGAATGGGCGCGGGGACGCTATGCAAACGCACCCGCTGGGGCCATATGTACAGCTCCCTGTGGGGCGCGATGCTCGTAAGGGGTGTACCGAAATGGACGAGGGGACGCCTTGCGAACGCACCCACTAGAGCCGTATGTGCAGCTCCCTGTGGGGCACGATCCTCGTGAGGGGGACGCCGAAATGGGCACAAGGACGCCATGCGAACGCACCCAGTCGGGCCACAGGTGCACCTCCCTAGGCTACAGGGTCCTCGTGAGGGGTGCCGACATGGGCGCGGGGACGCCATGCGAACGCATCCCCTCGGGCCGTAGGTGCAGCTCCATGTGGGGCACGATCCTCCTGAGGGGTATGCCGAAATGGGCGCGGGACGCAATGCGAACGCACCCACTCGGGCCGTAGGTGCAGCAGGTCCCTATGGGACCACGAAACATGTGAAGGGGGCGTATCGAAATGCGAAGGAGGAAAAGGTTGATGATGAGGGGGTGGAAGGAGGAGGGGGGAGAAGGAAGAGGATGAGACGCATGGCGCTGACGATTCAAAACAGGAGCCCGACACAGAAAGATTGAGAATCATATGCCCCAGGCGCGTGGAGTCGCGCAAACGCATCACTCGAGCTTTCCGCGCCGCCGCATCGTGCACGTCTGCGCTCATATGCACCACGCCGCCGCTACCACGCCGCTGCTGCACCACGCTGTCACCACGTGGGGGCGGAGAAAAAGAGGGGGAGGAACCGGGCGATGGAAATGGAGAACAGAGTCGGCGCAAACGTTTAGATTTTCTTCCCATCCCCTTAAATGGCGAACGCTGTAAGGATGATGAGGTGTTAACACAAGCCTGGACCCCGAGCACTAAGTGATTGCACGGTGGAAATGTCAACAATGTGGCGCTGTCTACGTGGTGTAAACTATGTGGTGTCATGTATATGGTGGAAGCTGCGTGGTTAAGTTGTGCGCTGCAACCTCGACGGGCCCCCAAGCGCGATGGGCGACAACGAGGCGGAAACGGGCGGCGACGCGGCGAAACCAATCTCGACGGACTGGGCGGGAACGAGGCGGCAACGGGCAGCGACGCGGCGAACCTCGACTGACCACCCAACTGGGCGAGGACGAGGAAGAGAA